TACAAAGAATGCAACGATCTATAACTTTAATCATATGTACATTCTAACAGTGAAAGACAGAATCCCAAAGAAAATTCCAGAAAATCACATCATATGAATTTATAAAAATTCATAACCATCTGATGAGGAAAAATAGGCATTCTTTGTAAGTGGGCAAACCTGCAAAATCAGAAAGGGGTCAGATACTTATTTCCCCCTACTGTAAGTAGATAAATAACTTTAAACTCTAACTCGTGCTCTGATAGGCCGGGATCGGGATCGGATCGGAGTTGAAAACCCCCGGGTGGGGCCGTCCCTTCGTGCTGAGCTCGGAGGCCCTGCCCGATCGCTGCTACTTCGAGGTGGAGTGGCGCGGGCGGGCGGTGGCCGTCGCCGTGGGTTACGGGGACCTGGGCGGGGCGGGGGGGGTGGCGCCCGGAGGGGGCGTGGCCTATTGGGCCCTCCACTGCTCCGGGGACCGGCTGGAGTTCTGGCACGCCGGCGTGCAGACGGCTTTGTGGGCGGAGCCCTGCCGGCGGGTCGGCGTGTTCCTGGACCGGCCCACGGGCGCCCTGTGCTTCCACCGGGCCACCGGCGCCATGGAGACGCTGCACCGCGTCCGGGCGGACTTCCACCGCCCGCTGCACGCCGCCCTCATCTTCGAACACGCCGCCGGGGACGCCGCCGAGTTCGTCCCCGCGGACGGGGCCCAAACCTCACTGACCCGGATCCCCCCCGACTCACCGGAGCAGGAAGGGGCCTAACGGCCTTCTGAAGGGAAGAAAACCTCTGCTGTTTATAGGGAGGAAACCCCTCCTTAACTCATTGGCTGCCAAAGACGCCTATAGACGTCTTTTATGTTTTTCAACCAGAGTGTCTGGGGGACGATCTGCTAAAGCTTGTCCGTAAATATCAGGCTTCTAAACAGAGTATGTAGTAACAAATTGACCCTCTAGGGGGCAGTGCCACTTTTGATGGGAGATGAGCATAGACTGTAGCCAAATTAAAGTTAAATTTTAACGTCTTATTAATAGTTTTAATTGTAACTGTAAAAGAAAAAAAAAAAGGTCTGTACAGCTGCTGAGCCGTGGAGGGAAAAGTTTATTAGTTAACAGCTACACAAAATAACTGCATAGATACATAAAAAGATTTACATCAACTTACAAATATCTTCATATGAACAAGCAGTCTTTCAGTGAGAAGACGACGTAACAGATACATGATAATCCGCTTTTTAAATATTTCAATCAGGCAAAATTTACAAAGATTCCTCAG